GAATCTTAAAAGGAAGTTGAGTGTCATTCGTAGAAGTTGACCAGCAAATTGTTGATTATGTTCACTGGTGTGGTTACGTCTAAAGATAAATAAATAAATAAATAATAATAAATTATCAACTTAGTATTAATGTATTTATTGTATTGGAAGTTTGGCTCTACCAATTGTACAGTTTTTTCCTTAATTTTAGTTAACTATGACCATTAACTAAATTAACTAAACACAATTGATGTACACACCCAAAAGTTGAAACCTGATTTAAGATGATTTCTAGTCTGAATCAATCCTGATATCAGTCTGAATCGTGGATTTTTGGCACTTAGTCACAATACAATAATGAAATCAGGCATGATACAACTATGATAAATTTTTATACTGGTTCAGGCCAGAGCAACAATCATAATCAGCAATGATGCCTGTCAGGATTGTACCAATACTGATTTCAGACTTGAATCATTAATTTTTGGCAGCATTGCTGATTCAGGCAAGAAAACTCTTGGGTGTGTACATGTACATGAATAAATTACTAATAATTTACTTTATAATTGATGAGAGAAGGTTAACAGCTGCATCCAGTTGATCAGGAGGAATGGGAGGAGGAGAAGGTAAGGATTCACTGCTGCTCTTCCTCTTGTCACTTCCATAACTATCATCTATTAATAGTAACAAACATTACCAACACACATTGATATTAATAGTAACACTTGTACTATAAATAGTAACACAAATACAATGATGTAGTATTTATTATAAATTGAAATACAAAATGCCCTATGTCAAAATAGTAATTAAATAAGATGATTTTATACCTAATTCTTGGCAATTGCCAAGAATTAGGTATAAAGTCACCAAACTGTTTCAGCGTAAAAATAAATAATTTCTATATCAACAGCGAGTTTTATTATTACCCTTGTGAAAAATCCCAGCAAGATCTTATAAGGTTTTTCATGATTTCACATGATTATACAAGAAAACATAAGATAGTAATCTTGTAAAATCTTAACACAGAAATTCTTGCAAATTCTTATTTAAGATTTGATAAGATTTGAACAAGCTGTCAGATCTTGTGAGATCTATCATAACTATGAATTTTAAAGATCTTATGAATAAAGGAATATGTCAGAAAATTTAAGATCATGCCTCACTTAAATCTTGTAATACCACACCTTGTAAGAACCAAGATGATCTTGTTAAATTGAAATCTAATAAGATCTTACAAAATCTAGTAAGTTTATGATCTTGAAGAATCATCCATAATCACATGACACATAAGATCACTCATTAAGTCATAAAAGATCTTGAAAGATCTTACAAATTGCATGACGT